TCATCCGCGCGCGCATTGATTTTTGCCTGTTCTAAAAAAAAAGATCACGTCCTTCAAGGCTCTGGTCTGGCTCTAGGCCTGGGTATATACGTAGTCCATGGTAGTTAGCGACAATACGAAGCCGGTGGTAACTCTGGAGGATGGCACTCAGGCTGCCGAAGCTCTACGACTCAAAAAGTCAATATATACGTGCAGTGCTGATTTGGCAAGTGCCGGCTTGTAGTATACGTCGCTAATGTACGAACTGTATCATCTATACAGTCCTTCAAAACATTGTGTGCACAGTTGTGTGATCTCTGACTTTCTACCCTTACGACCTGGCATTGCCTCGACTACGATTATGGATTACGATTGTGATATTGATGTTTTATTCCGTCTTGTCTTGTATATTTGTACCCAGGGCCACTCTGTAAAGAAGTGACAAGCCACTGAGTAGTGCAGAAAATAACTAAATAAAAATGAAATAGTGTACTACTAGTATTATGCTTCGCGATCGCCTAAGTCTGAGGTCAACTAGTACATGTAGTACTCAGAAGAAGAGGACAAGCGTTGACGGACATGTGTCTACTGGGGTAAGGCCACACCGCCTTTATTTTATGGATAACATCCGCGCGCGCATTGATTTTTGCCTGTCCTCAAAAAAAGATCACGTCCTCCAAGGCTTTTGCCTGGCTCTAGACCTGGGTAGTCCATGGTAGTTATCAACAATACCGACCCGGTGGTAACTCTGGAGGACGGCACCCAGGCTACCAAAGCTCCACGACTCAAAAACTCAGTAACGTTATATACGTACATTGCCGATTCATAAACTCCGCAAAAAAGACAGCATGTGCCGGCTTGTCGTATACGTCGCTAAGTACTGCCGCAAATTCACAATACCGGCTTTGTATTCCTGTGGTTTAGTAGCATTTTTTTTTCTATTTTTGGGCGGATTATTTTTATTCGCCCGCGCGCACTAGTTTGGTAGGAATTATCTTGGACGTCTCAGCGTAATATTGGCAGGGATTTTTATAAGGCCACCTAGACAGGAAATGGTCAAGAGTGTGTACTAGAGAGTCGGCTATGTGGGGCTTTGTACATGTACTCGTAGTATTACCAGTAAAGCGTGCATTGCGTAGATAAATAAATGGAAGTACCTTTGCTGTGGGTGCTTTGAATTTGTACAACTTTAGAAAATCAGCTCGGAGCTTTGCTGACATCAGCCACTAAAAGGCTTCTGAAAGAGTAGAGATTGGACAAATAGACGGATAACGTACCAGGGGACTTGGTCCGCTCAGGAGTACATTTTCTGGTGAGACAAACTGTACTCTCTAGCGGACCAACTACCCTGGTACGTTATCCCTCTATTTGGCCGATTTCTACTCTTTCCAGCCGCCTTCCGAAGCCTGGTAGAGGCTATGTGTTCCTTACCTCCCCTGGTATGTCTATTTGGCCAAATAACCAGAGGAGAAAAACATTACCTACTTCTCGCCGCAAGGCGGCGCTGCGATAAGAAGAGTGCTGTCCCAAAACGTGACTGAGTTTGTATCCCCCCTCGCCCCGGTTTGTTATTGGAACTAAAGCTGACTTCTCTAATTTCTTACTTATACTGGACAGCTTTCTTTGTGACTCACTTATCCCGCAATCCACATGTACAGCTAACTTTACAATTATCAAGTCAAGTCAAAGTTTATTGCACAACTATTGTCACGAGTACAATGTATGGCAAATAATAATGTTACTAGTTGCTATGAGTCTATCATAATTCTTCATATATGGTCAACGGTTATTGTGTTTGACAGAGTGTAATAAAGAAGTGCTGGCTAAGGAGCCAGTAAAAACCCTTCTGGTCCCGGGCCGGGGTTCGAACCCACGACCTCCCGGGCACCAGAGCTTCATAACCAGACGCTCTAACCGCTCGGCCGAAAAGGTCTAGACCCATCGGCAGGGTCAGTTGGTAGCGCCTATCTGAAATTACTTACTACTAATTAAAGACATACAAAAATCACGTCTGACCAATCTGCTGTATTATATTGTGTCTGCTTTTAATGTCATTGTAACTGAGGTATTCTAAACTCCAATTTCAATCACTATAAGTTACCACAATATTACATCAAATCTCTTTCACATTAAAGGGCGTATATATCTATCATACTGGGACCTGCGTTCAATCAGTGTCTCTTGGTTTGTGTCGTTTTCCAACATTATCTTTTGGTCTCCATCAATAAAAGATGTCTTCTGGTTCCGATCAGAGAACACGTTGATGTCCAACGTTCATCTGTCCTATGAATATCATGTATTTATGAATGACATCCTCTAAAATCATATGAGAAAGTGTCAAAATATTGCTAGCTTTGAGGGTAGTATGACATGAAGTACCTGTTCAGTAATTATATCCTCATATCGCTGGTAGATAGTATGGCTAATATAACGAAATATACATGTAACTCTTGGTTGAAATCTGGTTAGAACTCTGAGACAAAAGGTCACTTTCTAAAATCTTTGATTTGAATCTTATGGTTCGGATATAAGATAAAACGGTTAATCAGCTACTCAGATACATCTATGAACCATAATTCTATCCTAGATATCCATTCCTGATATGTGTTGTAAGTTTAATCTCTTGAGTAACTTTGTTGATTCAATCAAATCAAATCAATCAAACCAAGGACATTGGAACAATGTCCTTGATCAAACTTTCCCGTACTACAGAATAGATCTAGACATACCTGTAGATTCCTATAGTACATCTAACACATACATGTTCTTGCTTAAGCCCTCAACCTGATGGAGTTGAGTGAAATACTTTGTTTCTACCAGATAGACTGTAGCCAGGTCGCCTCGTCATTTTCGGACTCCGCCCCGCGCTGCCGGTCTTTGTTGCCCACGCGGACGGAGATGGGCAGGCCGTACCCGCCGATGATGTTGTCGATGGGCAGCGCCATGGCACGCCGTTTGCCCGTGATTGACAGCCCGTGTCCACCAATGAGGGAGTCGATCGGAGCCACCGCGCGTTTGTACGACATCGGCAGGCCACGCCCCCCGCTGATGATTGCATCGATGGGTGCTGCCGATCGTTCTGCCATCACGGGCGGATCCTTGTCGATGGAGTCGTTTGGATGCGGCGCACGCTTCCCGCTGATGGGCAAGCCCAGCCCGCCGTAGATCGAGTCGATCGGCGCCGCTCGTTTCGTCCCCAAGGATACGGGCAGCAGCCCTCCGTACAGAGCATCTATCGGAGCTGCTCGCTCTCTTCTGCTGCCTGCATCTTCTTCTTTCTTTTCTTCGTGATCGGTTTCATCCCGCCTTCTGGCCATGGGGAGGCGGAAGCCGTGCATGATGTTGTCGATGGGCCGCCCTGCGCGCTTACCGCCGAGCTGGTCCATCCCTGCCGCCCCGTGTAGGAGGGAGTCTATCGGTAGAACAGCTCGCTTGCTGTCAACTTGGGTTTGGGGATCCTACGAAAAAAAAAAACAGAGTCAGTAACTGATTAGAAGTGTTATGCTAAGATCTAATGTTAAAGGCTTGATATTGGGTTTCCTGTAAATAAGCTAGTTGTGAATTTTTATTTTCGCAAAGACATTCAAGTTTTTTAAGTTTATTTATTTCACCAGGGCATACCTCAGATCCATTGATCTGATTTTCAGGTATCCCTGGACATACATTAAAAATTACATTACACAAGTTCAACACAACAATATACAAATAATGTTACAAACATTTACATGTACAAAACAGTCACAGTATAGGCACATTTCATCTGAAGTCATCTACATACATAACGAGATATCGTGTGGCAGCTATGGCCCAGTCGCTATACCAGCGGACATGCACATGCATGACATACGAGAGGTCATGGGTTCGATTCCCAGCAGATTCCTTATGGGGCAAGGCCGTATCCGTAGGCTAATGGTAACTGCCTGACCAATTTGATACCGCCTTTTTGCTTGCACCCCAAGCAGGTATCTGCTTGGAGATTATGAAGTGCTTGTATCAAGAACGCAGCGTCTGACAGCGCAGCGCAGTGTAGCAGGGATCGCACTCACGACCTCTCGTATTTCATATGCATTCCCGCTGGCCTAACCACCGGGACATACCCGCCATACAATATCTCTTCACACGACCGCCTAAGTCTAAATGGATACCCAACTTCGGTTGTGTAGGTAAAAGACGATGGAATGAAAAGTACGGGCTTCGTCTTTCGAGACACAGTGGATTAACAACCCACTGCCCCGAGGATTCATAACTATAAGCATACACAGCGTGCACCTCCGATTACATACTGAGTAGTGCATGCCATTTCCAAGTACGTATCCATACTGATATAGCCTGGTATCCAGTCTTACGTGATTGGGGGTATTGCCATTGGGGTATTCGGGCAGGTTGTGCCTTCGGGGGCTCTAATAGCTTCCCCCGCCCAGTGCAACAGGCCGTCCCGGTAGGAGAGTTACGCTAATAAGAGACAGTATGCTTGGGGATTTGGTTTCCCCGGGGCCCCAACGAGGGCTAATCAATCTCTCGTGAAATATACACCGGGAAACCTATGTGAGGCGGGTGGGACAGAGCTCTTTCGGACCCGACCACGAATCAGACTGGATACCAGGCTATACTGATAAAACCCCGACAGTGCATCACTGTCGTGACTGTGATAGTGAGAGGAACAATAAGATAACTGTATGAGTAACGCAGTCAGATCAAGCGAAACAGCCGGTAAGAACTGCTGGAATTCATCACGAAGCTGGGACCGTGAGATATGGGCAGTATTTCTCTCCAAGCAGAGCCAACTATAAATCAGATTTTTTTTTGCTGGCAAGTTTGAACTTTTCACTTCTTTGCAAACGTTTACTAAATGTGGCGCGTGCTCCAACGAAAATTGTATTTTCTAAAAATATAAGAATATTACACTAATTTAAAACGCCTTCGCAATAGGTTTTTTTTAGATTACAACTGACAAGAGTTCAAAGTACCACAAATTGCCCCAATTACGTTACCACTAATCATCTCTATCTAGTCTGTCAATCTTGCTACAGAAATAGCAAACGTGTCGCCTCACACCGCCTCTACCTTAACCGTTTAACAGGAAAAGGCATTAGAAATTAAGCTACGAACCAGAACTTAACGACCATCAAGTGACTACCTCGTGCATCTCAAAGTTTGAAGCCATTAACAACTACGCAAATCGAACACGGCGCTAAGGCCACAGCAAGTAATTTCTATGGATGACATCAGCGCGCGCATTAATTTTTGCCTGATTTTGGAAGAAAAAAAAACAAGAATTTTTTTTTTGCCTTCTGACAGTGGTCAACATGCCGAACATGGGCAAAGATGTCTGCTGCCATGCAGGAAGGTGGATGGCAAATAACTATGAAGAGAGGAGAAAAGAAAAGGCTCTAATTTAATGTTTTGTTTCTTACTTTAATGCAGTGATATGTGATGCTGGCTGTGTATACATGTGTATATGTGATGTTCCTACTGAGTCAAAACCATTTGTACAATGATTGAGTCCAAATTTTAAATTGTAGGAACCTTGTTTTTTTCGGCCCGCCTTGTTTTTTTTCGACCGCTCGCATTAGATTTGGAATCTGTGGAGGATGTCATCCATAAAAGTTACTTGCATTGGCCTAAGCCTTTAAAACATGATGGTTTGGGAAGGCACTTTATAAAACGTCAATGATAAAAGACGGCTTTGTCATATGTTATAATGGTCGCGATTAGCGCGCCAGGATGCCATGGCCTTACTCCAATGTGTTCTTGCCGGATAACGTTTTGCAGGTTAATTATATTACGGCTAAAGCGTTTAAAATAATCTCTACATATCTAACTTATGTCTGCCGTACATAGGACATTACACATCCATTTATTGTCAAAGTTCTGAAGCTGGAGAGAAGACCAGAATATTTAACCCTAAATATGTTTAAGCCTATGTCATACATTCACGAGTTTGGCCCGAACACTAGCAGAACGCCCCCTAACCATGCTTAGGAGAAGGTCGGCTGGTGTTCGGCCAGGTCGGCTACTGTTCGGCTGCGATTCAAAATGTTTAAAACATTGTTGGCTGGAGGTCGGGCGTGGTTGTCATTCAAGTTTGACTAAAATTAAAAAAAAAAATTAACGGCTCTTGATCGCAAATGTGCTTATGTTGACACATTGGCGCACCAAATCCGTAGTGTGTTTTTGGCACCCAGTTAGACAGATTAGCCTAAGAGGCTCGGTGGGCGTCACTCCACCGTACATGGTGGGGAAGTCGTGTAAAGTGTCTTTCCCAAGGGCACAACGTCGGGCCACGGTGAGTATCGAACCCGGGACCTCTCGGTTCCTAGTCCAACGCTCTAACCGTTTCGCCACCGACGCCACCACTGACCAAAATTTAACTCAAATTTAATTCGATTCGTATAGAAAAGTAGGCGTGGCCTAAATTTGATCGATCGGACTCATGTTCCGAACTTCAGCTATCCTTGGTCGGCTGGTGTTCGGTGGAAGGTTATGAATGTGTGGCAGGAGCTTCAGAAAGGGAACAAAAACGCACGCAATTTGTGATTAACCTCAACTGACACTGACATATAGCACATGCCAACGAGGGGCGACTGATGAAGATGACAACTAGTCATGAAAAATATAATGAACCCTATATATATCTACTGAACTGCCAAAGAAGAAGAAGATTTATATATATGCCACACTAATTTTGATTATATGGATAAAATATAAAAACTATAACTTATAGGGCCTTGAGGAATACGTTACTTTTTTTTTCAATTTTAAAATCCGTTGAAAATCAATGCGTGCGTTTGTCCTCCATCGCTGCAGGTGATCTTTTGAGGCTTTTATGTGAAGTGTTTGAAGCACGTGCGCACATCACTCACTGAAGACTGGATAAAAGTACCAATCAATACGCCAACTTTGAGTTTTCAAGTTTCAGGGGGTGGGATAGATAGTGGTTAAGTCTGGCTGCGACCCATGATAGCCGAGTGTAGCCTTGTTCCCAATTTACTCCCAACCATAGTTAGGAGTAGATTGGGAGCGAGGTCGGCTGTGGTTGGCTGGTGTTCGGGATTAAGTTAGCTGGGCGTTTTCGGGGGTTAAATTTTACTCAAGTTTAACTCATATTCGGTTCGATTCGTATCGAAAGGTGGCCTAAATCTGGTCAGTCTGGTGCCGAACTTCAGTCGGGCTTTTTTTTTATTCCGAAACACAAAAATCACAAGACGTGGTGACGGCACACTCAAGTTTTTTCAACGTATATTAATGCCGCCACCAACACAGGGACAGTACAATACTCATTTACACCTGAGCGAAGTGAGGAAAGTCGTGTAAAGTGCCTTTCCCAAGGGCACAAGATCGGTGGCATATCAGGACTCGAACCCGGGGCCTCTGGTTCCGAGTCGAGAACGCTGCCGCTACGCCACACGACCCCACCTAAGCCACAGTCGGGCTTGGTTGGCTAGTGTTCGGGGCCCGGGGGCAAGTCATGAATGTGTGACAGGCCGTGGTGAATTGTCGCGTGGTTTTGCGTGGTTTCGCGTGATTTTCCGCCCAATGACGTCAGGTTGAAATGAGAGGTCATGCCAGGACTCGCTTTTGGTGTTCAAGTACCTTTTATCGTTATCAAAAACACCTAAAAACCATTACAACATTGCCATTCACAGACACGGTACGTAAGAAACTACCCAACCTAAGCAAATTTGATATTTCAAGTACCGGCGAAGTAATTTAATTCTTACGTCATTTGCCTGCTTATCAGATACATAACATACTCAATGTACAGTCATGTTTGCGTTACATTTGACGGACTTAGATAACGCAACGCTGTCGCAACGCAGCGATAACGCTGACGCAACGCAGCGGCAACGCTGTCGCAACGCGATAACGCAACTTGCGGTAATTGACCCCCGCCGCACGAATGCGTTACAGCGTTATTTAGCCTGCTACCGAGTGCGCCATCGCGCTATTGACGCAACTATAATGAGCTGGATAGGGTTTCATGTTTGTTTGTCTACTTTGTCATTTAAATTTAAAAACAATACTGGGTGTTATGGCCTCCTTTCAGCGATCATAGACATGCGTGAGCGTTGGAATTGGATGGCAGGAATTAGTTTGAGCATGGATGTAAAAAAAATGGTGTGAGGCATTTCCAATGAGGTTATTCATCAGCCTGTCTAAACATGTAACGCCCCCAAAATACGTTAGATATAGCAACAATAATTTCAACTACACTTCACCCCAACATGTCGCAAACAAAATATAGCAACTCCTCCTCCGCTACTCTTCCACACGGCAAGGTCAGACAATATTTGGTGTTGCCCCGGCGGCCCGGAATCTTACTTGTGCAGTCAAAAGCGTAATGAGCCGGCGCATGTTGTCGATGATTTTTTTTAACCATAGAACGCATAATTCAGCAACCAAAATTGAATTGTCAAAAGCTTAGGATATATCCCGCCAGCGAAATGGATCTTGTAAA